TGGCGTAGCGCACTGACAGCAGCGCCGCTTTGCCCGCCGTGCCGCGCACCAGCGGCGTGGGGCTGGTGATGTTTACCCCCGCCAGCAGACCTTGGGGCGGGGAGAGACGGTGGGGATGGAGGAAAATGGGGAACCCTCTCCCGAGCACCCCCAAAATGCTTCGGGACGGCTGTTTGCATCGCCCTTTGAATGCGGCATCCTGAAAAGTGCATGAGGGTGGGAGCACTTCTGTACCCGGGGCAATGAAATCCTTCCTGAAAAATTGGGGTGGTGCCCTCAAAATTGCACGGAGGGTGGGAGCGTTCCTGTGGCTGGGTCGATGCAACCCCTTGCAAGAACTCGTGCATTTCCCAAAAATCTGCATTGATGGTGGGAGCGCTTTCGCAAAGGGGTTGATGTGACACTTTGCAACAAATGCGTGCACTGCCCCCAAAACCGCATGAGGGTGGTTGTGCTTCTGCGCCCAGGTTGATGCAACCCTTTGCAAAACGCAGGCATCACCCCCAGAATTGCATGGGGGAGGGTGGGAGCCCTCCTATGGCTGGGTCAATGCAGCTCTTTGCCAAAATGCATGCATTGCCCCCAAAATTGCATTGGGAGGTGGGTTGACACAACGCTCTGCAAAGACTCATGCATCACCCCCAAACTGCACGGTAGGGGAGTGCTCTTGCACCCAGGTCAATGCAGTGGTTTGCGAAAAGCATTGGCTCCCAAAACTACACGCGAAAGACTCATGCATCACCCCCAAACTGCACGGTAGGGGAGTGCTCTTGCACCCAGGTCAATGCAGTGGTTTGCGAAAACGCAGGCATTGCCTCCCAAAACTACACAGGGGTGGGAGTGCCTCTGCACTCAGGTTGATGCAACCCTTTGCAAAACGCATGTATCACCCCCAAAAAATGCACGGGGGGTGTGGGAGCCCTCCCACAGCTGGGTCGATGCAATGCTCTGCAAAAACGCCTGCGTTGCCCCCCAAAAGATGCACAGGGGGTGGGGGCCCTCCTGCAGGCGGGTTGATGCAAGCCTTCGCCAAAATTCATGCATCACCCCCAAAACTGCACGGAGGACCGAGACACCTCCTGCACCCAGGGCAATGCAAGGCTGTGCAGAAACGCATGCATGGCCCCAAAAACCACCTCGGGGGGGATGCATCTTGGTATTTTTGGGATCCCCAGCCCTGTTGGATGCTCTGGTCCGGCCAACCTCTCCCCTGCGTCCTGGGGGGGTCGGTGCGTGCCCAGCCCTCGTCACCGCTGGTTTTAAGCCAAAAACCACAGAGAACAAGAAACCTGATTGTTTTGAAGGGGGGGACCCCCAAAACAGCCTCTCTCCCCAAACACCACAGCCTCACCCCCCCCTTGCCAGCCCAGGGGTCCCATGGGCGACCCCCCCCATGCGGATGCCGTCATGCGAGGGCGAACAAACCCCATATTGAAGAGCCCGAAAAGTCACGGGACCTATTGGTATGCAGCGTCCGTCCGTCCGTCCTCCCCGGCACCGCAGGGCTCGGCCCCGAAAACATGGCCCCCCCCCGCCAAATTTTGGGGACCCCCACAGGGAAACCCCCAGCATGGGGTTGGGGCTGCGGCTTTTAGTGCATCCTTGTGCCTTGTGCACCCAAAACCACTGCTTTTGAACCGTTTCTTCTCTCTTTTTTAACCAAAATGTTGATTTTTTTTTTCCTCTGGGTAATAAAATTTGGGAGCTGATTCATAAATCCGGCAAAATTCCCATTTCTTACAGCATTGCTGGCTGAGGGACAGAGATCTGGGGACTCAAAATCCTAATTTTCACACTATTTCCTGCAACAAATCCTTATTTCTTTGGCAAAAAAACCCCACAGCGGCATTTTTGGGGTACCCTGGTTGCAATGCAGGTGATTTTGGGGATGCAAATCACAGCAGCGTGTGAAACCGAGTGGTTTTGGTTCACACCCGCGGTTCATCTGGAGAGAAGTGGGGCAGCCCTGGGGTGGGTTTTAGGTCTAAACTTTGTTAAAATGGTGCAAAAATCCTTGCAGGTGATTTTTTTTCTTTGCATTGTCAGACCCGGGATGGGGCAGTTTGGGGGGTGCTGACCCCTAAAATGTGGGGTTTTAAGGAAATAAATGAGGGATGCAACCAGGGTTGCAGTGGGATGGGGCGAACGGAAGCGAACTTAGAAATGGGGTGAAAAATGGGCTTTTTGGGAAAGCTGAAGGATGGGTGAGACAATCAATTTGGGCGTGCTAAAAAAATGAACAAAATAAAGGGGTTTGGGGAAAGCCAAAAAGCTGGGGGGGCTGGGACTGGATCCACCCCCCTGGCAGGACCAGTTTGGCTCCGGCAAAGCCATTTTCCCAGTTTTTAAACCAAATTTTCCCCCTTTTTTCCCTCTCCTGAGCATGGGGGCTTCTCAAGGGCAGAGATCCCCCTCCCCAAAAATCCCCCCTTCACTGGGTACCACTCTCCCCATCTCATCACCGTCCCACCCCATCATCTATTCGGATACCCCCCCAAAAACCCATGGTGAAATGGGGGAAAAAAGGGGAAAATGGGGGAAAACAAGGGGAAATGGGGAAAAACAAGGGGAAATGGAGGAAAATAGGGAAAAAACCCATGGCAAAATGGGGATAAAACACAGGGAAATGGTGAAAAACTGGGGAAAATGGGCAAAAACGGGGAAATGGGGGAAAACAAAGGGAAATGGAGGAAAATAGGGGAAAAGCCCTTGGCAAAATGGGGATAAAACACAGGAAAATGGGGAAAAACAGGGGGAAATGAGGAAGAAACAGAGCAAAATGGGGAAAAACAAGGGGAAATGGGGAAAAACAAGGAGAAATGGAGGAAAGCAGGGGGGAAAAGCCATGGCAAGATGGGGATAAAACGCAGGGAAATGGTGAAAAACTGGGGAAAACGGGGAAAAACAGGGGGAAATGGGGAAAAACAGAGGGAAATGGGGAAAAACAGAGGGAAATGAAGGAAAATGGGGGGAAAAAACATGGCAAAA